TCTTGAAGTGCCTCGCGTACTGACAATGGCCCACTAGGGCATCTAAGTTAGTTTGACTACACTCTAGCATAGCTAGGCACACTCTAGCATAAATAGCAATGCGAGATTGTCTATTTTTTTGTGATGATAATCCCTTATATAGTTGATTTAAGAATTGATTATTGTTTGTACTTATAACTCTACCCCTTATCGAATTATAGATACAACTTTAATAGTATCTACACTTTTATTTCCATGACACTTCTAATACCTTAGACTTTATAACATTTGGTCACTTAATTTATTCATATTTTATGATAACAATATACACTATATTGTGTACCATAATTATGGATTTTAATCCAACAATGATTTTATGTGGGTTTTATTTTATCTATCGATCTTACTTGAGATGTTTTATAGCGAACCTTAGTATGAATGTCAATCGTAGGGTCGTCATGACTAGAAGTAGGCTAACAAACTATGTGGATACGATCAACTAATGGTGGATTTGGCTCTGATGGGTCACATGGGTCTGTCAAAGGTCATGGCAACATGTTGACGCTTCCCAATGGGCGTTAGATATTCTAGATTCTTCTTCGATATGTTCTCTCTTTGTCTTTAGAAACTCCCTAGGTGTCATATATTTGAAGATGATGTTTACCCTTCAGAGACTATGAGCAGAAACACCATATTCTTATGTTAAGGGATGAACTTCTAAAATTTAGGAAGAACGAGGTTATAAAGTTCCAGGGGTGAAAATATAAAGAAAATATTAAAATATATTAATTTGATTTTTCAGGGGATTGTCCCCATCCAGCCCATTCAGTTCATTCCTGACTATGACACAAGAATGATACGAGGATGACTTTCGATGGGTATAACGACATTAAATGTCTAAATTTAAGAACTTTGTTTTAATATTCATGTCTCTTAAATATTTATAATTTCATATCCTAAATTCTACATTTCCTGCTTGATCCATTTGTATATAATTTGTTAGCCTGATTTCATACCTTGGTATTAGTTACCATGGTTTCTCTATTATCATGCAATTATTAGTTCAATTCATCATCCAAAATCGATACTTTTAAATTTTAATATATATATATATATATGGAGAGGATCCAAGTGCTCCAAACATTCTAAAAAGATGATAATAGTATCAAAGTAAACATTATTGGAGAAAATTTAGGAACCGTCAAACCAATAGTTGCACCATGTTTATCTTATTTTCGTTTGGCTTTGCTAGGTTTCACTTTATCCACCTGCTTCCAACATGGAAGTGGGATGGGTATTTATTAAATATCAATTTAATCAACACATTTTCAACATTTGGCTATTTAGTCCTCAGATGATTAACTCTCATTTTTCACAAACTAGATTTAGTTTATTTAATTGATATGCGTGCATGAATAATGAACAAGTATTGGTCCAATTGATGCTGTTATTATAGTAAGAATTTGAAGGGGTTATGGGTATTATTAAATATCAATTAATCAACACATTTTCAACATTTGGCTATTAGTCCTCAGATGATTAACTCTTTTTCACAAACTAGATTTAGTTTATTAATTGATATGTGCGTGCAGAATAATGAACAAGGTATGGTCCAATTGATGCTGTTATTATAGTAAGAATTTGAAGGCTATGAATTTGAGTATATTTGTTTACTAAGTAGAGAGATAATATATTCTCATAATCACTTGATTAACTATTTTTTAATTTAAGTTAACAACATACAATAGCATTGAAGCATAAAACAAAGGTAAAAATACTGGGGGACTCTGGAAACAAAGAAAAAAGAACGAATTAAAGAAACAAAAAACCACATTGCCAAAATTTATCAAGGAATTTTTAGAGTTTTCAATTATTTAATTTCTAGGTGAAGAAGATGGAGAGAATGGTTTTTTTTTGGGTTAATTAACTTCAAGTCCCTTAAAATATGTGAATTGAAAAAAATTGACAAAAAAAATAACACATAATAGGGGTTCACATATCCTTAATGTTAGAAGTTAACACTTAAACGTGTATTAAATACTTAAAGGTATACTTATTTTAAAAAAATAGACTGTCAAATTAAATGATTTGCTAAAGTATAGGGGACAACTGTTTATCATTCTTTTTAAAGTATTTTATTGAGTAAACTATTTTTATGGATTTATTTAATAATATATACTTTGTTATCTTTAAGTTGAAATTTGAAAATGAGTAGCCCTTTTTATTTGGAAAACAATTGCTAATTTTGAAATTAAAGTGTGCACCTGGGGCATGGAAAAAGCAGAACCAAGAGGGCCATCGATTTGATGTTGATTTATGTTTTAGACCGTAATCATCTTTAAACAGGGTAAGGGAAATATATACTATATTTTTCAAAATTGGGTTAATTGATCCTTACGATTGTGTTTTGTCCACTTTTGATCGATATTTTAAAAAATATAAGATAGGGTCCTCTTGTTTTTATTTATTAAGATATGATCACTTTCGTTTTATTTAATTAAGATGTGTACCCCGAGTTAACCGTCGTTAACATCAGTTAAATATTTGATATAATCACATATTTTGTCTATGTTATTTACATTCTCTCAATTTAGTCATACTTTTAAATCTATTATGTTAGTTTGTTAACTGTAAGATTTATTCGATGATGTATAATAAATTCTAATTATATTGTTTATCAACTATCATTTTATCACATTTCTCATATATTTGGTCACTCTAGACACATATAAATTGTTTTATTATCGTTTTCAATTTATTTTGTCAAAATATTTATAAAACTCACAAACTTAAGCACTTGTCTCTTTTTTTTTCCTTATAGGAGTAAAAATTTTGTTGGATTTAATGGTTTTGGTCATGGTCAACCGATAATTTAAATGGTAAGAAACATTATTTCAATAAGAAACATAGTTTGTTATGAAACTAACTTCATCGGGCCATTATTGATAGAGATTTGAGCATTAGAAGATTAAAATTCTGACTTGATTTCATGGATTTCGAATAAATTTTGAGAAAAAAAAAATTATTGAGAAGAAAATGGGGATAAAGGTAAACATTGTTGTATATCTATGTCACGCACGTTGGTAGATGATAATTGAAAGGATTTAAGATCTTTTATAAAAGAAAAAATTGCATCATAAACCGCGTTAAAATATTAACGGTTTGATGATAAAAAATAATTAGAAAACTTTAGTACTATAATGTTAACTTTTTATACATGGCATGTATCGTAGAAACTTCCCAACGAACAAATCAGTTAGCAACGGTGCAGATACACACTATCCCTGTTGGTGGTAGCTTGTTTGTCTGAAAAACATGACATGTTCTGTTGTTCTTCTAGCTAATTTGTAAGAACATAGAAAGATCTCCATGATTCTGTTTTTGTTTCTTTGTCCACTCATTAACAGCTGTGGTGTTTTATTAATGATATTCTTAATGAAATGATGGAAATGTCAATTTCAGGACTGGGGTGGGCTTCAATTATTTATGACTACAGTCAGAGCCCATACTTGTTGAATCAAACTATAATTGACACAGAGAAATGAAAGACAAGGAAATTCCAACCATATTATTACAAGCAATTTTGAATTTATATAGGGATAATCGTATCTTACGTCTGCAATCTATGACCCTCATTTTAAATTGGTTCTTACACTTTTAAACATTTTAATTCCGTTCTTAAACTATGAATACATTCTAAATTGGTCCTCAAATTTTGAGTATTTCATTTTCATCCCTAAACTGTTATTTTTATTCTAAATTGGTCCTCAATCTTTTGAATATTTCAATTTTATCCTAAATTATATGTATATGATAATCACATCTCGTGTTAATAAAATCATTAGGTCAAGTTATGTTATTATATGTTTTGGGGGAAAAAATAAAATTTAGGTTAAACTATAGTTGAAATGGATTACTTTGGATGGATTTGGGGATGAAATTGGAAGATTGAAAAGTTTAGGAACCAATTTAGTATGAGATTCATAGTTTGAGGATGAAACGGAATGTGCAAAAGTTTGATGACTAATTTAAAATGATAGTCGTAATTGAAAGATGAAATTGAAATGTCTAAAAGTTTAGAAACTAATTTAAAATGATATCATAATTTGAAGAAGTGTGATGCAATAAAAGGATAAGGGCAACCAAATATCAAACTCAAAATTAGTGTCAATTGAACACAATCATTACTACTCTACTTGTGTTTCAGACGGTAAAATTAAAGCATTCAATATACAAGGATTACAATCAACACACATCCTACATACGTAATTACTTGAATTTGAGTCCTTTAAAGAATAACATATGTACGCGAAAATAACGGCTCGATTTATGTTTTTTTTTGTTGATAATTTTTCCTCTAAAATCTTGTCTGTCCCTGTGCGTGAATCAAATTAGACCAGACCCAAGTTTCTACTTCCACCCCTTATTGAAGGGTTTACGTGCGTGCAGCCAGAAATTGAACACTACATCTTGCAGTGCAAATGAAATCTAAGTTCATGATTCATGGACTATAAGTAATCAATATTTTAGGCTGTAAGGGTTGCATGTCTGCTGAGAAACCCCCAAAGCCGGGAAAAAAACCCAGCAAAGATCTGCCAAATTTTCCCTGTTTGTTGTTTGGCAAGGATGGTACCTTTTATGTCTTGATTCAGTTCCCCCATGAATTAACAACCAAGAAATGTTTCGTTATCTCTCCATGAAACCAAGACAAAGTCCATAACTTCTGCTGATACAGTTTAGAATCCTCACAAGTTAGGGTTCATTTTCACTAGCTTGTCGTCCAAACTACTGTTTTAGATCAAACAAAGAGAAATCGATTAGTCATTTTAGAAAAGGAAGTTTGAAGGAAAGATAGTTGTGGCAATTTGAGGTATTCAAAATGAATTCCATATGCTTCATAAACAAACTGTTCATTGAAAGAAACAATACTGAGAAAAGATTGATGGAGAGAATGAATGAATGAATAATAATTAAGACATGATATAATATACAACTAAAACAAATTTGAATATACACAGTATATGTATGTGTATGACTGTATGTATATATAGAATTACTTACATTAAGGCCAAAGAGGCTTATTTTTCTATATCATGAAAATCCAGCTCTTCCCATAGCCTAACCTGACAGTTTCTGCAGATCTTTTGCTTTGAGTGTTTCAAACTCTGATGTCTACGCCTTTGGAACGGAGCTCTGAGAAGATATCTTTTTCCCCCTTCAGTTCAGTCCATTGAAGACAAAACCAGAAAAACAGCCAATAATACTTCTCTCAATCTCAAAGAAACTGAGTTGAGGCTTGGTTTACCAGGTTCTCATCCTCGTAGAAAAATCTGCCTTTTTGGCAAAGATTTACAGATCAATGATGATAAAAGTAATGGTTTTGCTGTTAGTCCTTTCGAGAACCTGGCGTATGGAGCCAAAAGGGGTTTCTCAGATGCCATCAAGAGGTGCCTGGTGTTCCTTCAGGTGCAAGGTATGTTCATCTTCAAAGCCTTCTTTTTCACCCTTTTTTATTTTATTTTGGGGATTGTTTTTCAATTTATTGAGCAGGATTTGTGAAACAGGGCACTGGTGGTAGGATGGCCACCGGTTCGATCATTCCGGAAGAATACAATGGCCAGCGATGAGGCCACTGCGGATGAAGGCCATTGCCAGTATGTAAAGGTGAGCATGGATGGAGCACCATACCTGAGAAAGGTGGACCTGAAGACGTGCAAAAACTACATGCAACTCTCATCGGCTTGGAGAAGATGTTCAGCTGTTTCACCATGTCTGAATACGTGGTCACTTATGAAGACGCGACGGTGATCAGATGCTTGTCGGCGATGTTCCGTGGCAGTAAGAATCTACGTCCATCGGCATATAAAAGAAGAATGATGTTAATTGAAATAAAACTCAATCGGTGTAATATTTATTTTAAGTACAATTATTCATATCTCTGATAGTGTTCTATCTATGTTTTGTTACTCAGGATGTCATCGATTCATGTAGGAGAATAAGGATTACGAAAGGTACTAGCTCCAAGGGCCATGTAGAAATGCAAGAATCATAGTTAATGCACAAGAAGAATCTTCAAAGGCTCCCTAAATTATACACATATCTTGTGAGATATCTTTAGTTTTATGTTTTTTTTTGTTATGTTTAACACGGGGTAAAAATATTATAGGTTATTTAATTTTATGTTTATTAATAAATGGCTAAATGAAATATTAGATTTTATAGAGTTATTTCAACGATAAAAATAAATATTCTTCTTAAATGATTCGAGTTCAAGCAATTACAAAAAATAACATGAAAATATTATAATATTTTTAGAAGTACAAACAAATTAGAAGAACAAGAGTGAAAATCATAGTTTTTAAATATGAATGATTAAATTAATTGAATTATTTTGATTTAGGATATTGATGATTAAAATTGTTATAATATCAATTCACGTTACTATTTATCTATGATTAAATTATCAATGATCCATTTATAATAATTTAATTGAATAATAAATTTATAAATTTAATAAAAAATAATTCATTTATTACCAAACATATAATTGAGTATAATTTTTTATTAAGCTAAGGTAATTACAAAGTAATATTTGTTCTAAATACTCTCAATCATGTGATAATAAATGCTCAATCACTCTATCACAATTGTCGGTGCTTAAACTCTTGACATCTAAGAACAACAAAAATTCCTTTAACCATGAGTAAGATAAGACATATTTTAATATTTTTACATATAAAAAATTGAATAAGCTTATTTATAATTAGAAAAATTAAAAATATGTTTAAGTAGTGGATATTTGAGGAAATTTCAAACATTACTTTCTCATTAGTACAAATCAACAAGTCCTTTATGAGAAGTGATAAACATTGATTCTCTCATCAGTAAATTACATTGGAAAGGCACCTGATCCTAATATTTACTACAAAATTTTTCTAAAAAAAAAAATAACAAGAAAATCATTATAACATGCTATGAAGAATGAAAACGTGTTTTCATCTACTGAAGTTAAATCAGATCTGATCCAGGATACTTTCAAGATTCAGGTTCAGAAATTTGCAGATATACCATCTGTGTATATCCGTTAAATACAGATCTCTCGAGCCTATCTAAACCGAGCCGTTGAAACAAGCGATATCGACCATCTTCGACAATAGGAGGAGGTGTACGGCCAGGATCATATCGAGTTTGGTGGGTGAGAGATGGGCCAGCCGTCGGTGGCAGCTCCCAATAAACATCAAGAATCGATTCAACGAACCTGCTGTTTGAAAATGCTCGCCATAAGAGATTATGGTCTATTGTGGTTAAAGTTATCCCGCATCTCTCTATAACACCCCACCATGCTTCATGTGGCCCACAAAGTCATCTGTATCCACAGCCTTCTCCCAGAATTCTTTCTTTTCGATCGAATCTGGCTCATCGCTGTCCCTAAAGCAGCTATGGCCACCTCCTGAATAAACAAAGCTCATAATCAGGGGCAAAAGTGCCCAAATAAGGCATGTGGGAATGTTTAATTCCCAAACTAATACATTCATCAGATTAATTTTTCATCTAGTGTATTTTTTACCGTACGTTTTCAGGATATCTCGGCGTCTTCAAGCCTAAAATTTTGTTCCATGGATTATCAGGCATCTTTTTTTTCTTCTGATTACTGTGATTTTTGGAGATTTTTCCGAAAAATCACATTTTCTTTAAATATTTACGTGTCAGACACCATTTGAAATAATATTTCTGATTTAACACTCTTTGTATTATTTAATTTTTTTAGTATTTTATTTTTTTCCTTAAATCATTATGTTAAAATCTGTACTGAAGTAATGTCATTCTTCTAGTACTTCTAAATGAACATCTTTGAAATCTTCATTATTACTTCCTCAAGAGTTATGTTCTCTTGAATGATATTTTAACATAATGATTTGATACGAAAACAAACGTCAGTTCATCTTCCTGAATTTCTCCATCATAATAAATATAGTGAATTCGCTTCATTCTTACACATTAACGTAAATAATTTAAATAATATAATTTTATAATATTACCGTATCGACAAAAATATTTCGACGTATGCTCTCGCTTTCTAATTTTACAACTACAAAAATTAATTGAAAATAATTACTATAATATTTTTTCAAATAATCATATATAATTATAAAAAATATTATATATTAAAAAAATTATCTTACAACGAAAGATCGAACGAACTTTTGAATCAAAGATAAGAGGATTGTCAGGTGATATTTAAGGAAATATTATCTCAAAGGGTGTCTGACATGTAAATATTTAATGAAAATGTGATTTTTTGGGAAAATTTCCAAAAAAATGGACAGTAATCATAAAGAATTTAACTAAAACGTTGGGTAATCCTATGGAGCAAAAACTAAAGACGCCGTATAATCCCATGGAGTAAAATTTTAACTTGAAGACGCCGAGATATCCTGAGAACTTTAGGAGGTACAGTAAAAAATACACTAGATGGAGAATTAATCGAATGAGTACATTAATTTGGGAATTAAATATTCCCGCATGCCTTATTTGGGCACTTTTGCCCATAATCAGGTATAGAACAAAAACACTTCAGAACGCACAATTTGAGTTATCGAAATTTCAGGGACCTTATGAATGAAAGTCGAGGCTGTAAATTACGACAAAATAAAAGAAGATAAAAGCGAATATGGGTCAAAAGCATGGCAAAAAGGGGGGGGGGGGACACTCACAAACCGAGAAATGAATTAAAGGAAAAAGTGTGGAAGGAGCATCTACCTCTTATGTAGAACTGGTCACAAATCTGCCTCAATGAGTAATGATCTCCAGTCCCAGTATCATAATTGTCTTCAAAAACAAGATGACGAAACCCAGCTTTCAATGCCTGCTTTAGCCTGTTCATGAAAGCGCATCATATCGGAATATGCACAACAACTCGAAAGTAAAAGGTAACCTTCAATCAGCTCCAGAAAAACCTAAAACTTGTTGGGGGGGGGGGGAGATCATCAATGCATAGATGCACCAAGTACCTTTTCACTTCATTTTGATGGTCATCAAAGAAGACAAGAACCCGGCTGAAATCGAAATTCCACGAACCTTTAGTACCTTCTAACACTTCCAAAATCCACAAAATCTTTTCCAGCAAAGTATGTGCAATTTTCATCAACAAAGCAGACCCCTTTTTCAAGTACTTCTCGGGATGCCGGGGTGTGATCGAGATAATTGGCGTGTCAGGCATTGCTTACCGCAGAACCCAAGTGGAATGTCCCTTGAACGCACCACTCTAATCATTATATCCGGTTTTAGCCACCGGGCAATGAACCAAAGCCCAAAGCTGTGGTCAAAACCCATCCCATACATGTTTTTGATTGGTCGCATTTCATATATTGGTACAAACTCCTCCAAGCCACTGATTAAATCTTTGGATGTTCATTCAACTGTTTTTCCATGTTTTGATCTGCCTTTTGCCAAGGATACAAATTAAATGGGCACAAACCATGCGAATTAAGAATCTAACACGCAATTGGGCCTTAGCAAGAAATAAAATAGTTACATAAAAAGTCAAGTTCCACCTTCAAAAAAGATTTCATCTTTAACACCATGAAAAACTTCCACAAACCAAGCGGAGGAGGATAACCAGGCTTGCAAATTTAAGAGGCGAAACATTGATAAAAGTAAAGAAAGTGGCCGCAATTTTGAGATGGGCAATTAAAATGCGTATGATATAACAATTGACCACAAGGAAATTGAAGATTAGTTCTTGACTTCTCGTTAATCAACAAAAATCAATAAAACAAGGTCAAATCTCTTATGAACCTAATACAGATTTAAGTGTCAAGAAGAGCATATTCAAATTAATTCTTAAAGGTTTTTACAATGAAAATGTAAAGTTTTAGCCAAATTTTGACAAAAGATAAGACAAGTTCGAAATTATCAACCCACTCTCCATTTATACAGCCCAGTGAATATTTCACCAAGAAATCAAATACACTAAGAGCGTGTTTGGTTCGGGGTATGTGGGATTACCATGAGAATGAAATCCTCATTTCCTCGTTTGGTTTGCCAGTAATCTTATTCCCGGTAATCTTTTATTCCCAACAGTGGATTTTTTGGGTATATTACCGGAAATGTGATTACACATTCCCTTAGGTATTGTTGGATTACCGACTTTTTTGATTAAAATGCCCTTAATTTTTTTTTCAAAAATATCATTCTTTTATCGTTAAATAATAAAAATTCTACGAATGTTAAATTACAAATTTATCCTTAAACTATTTTAAATTTATAAAAAAAAATCTATAATTAAATTTTATATGAAACTCAAGGGTTAAAATAAAATTTTACCATTTAATTAAACCTATTTATCTTTTTAATTTTGTAAAAATATTATATAAATTATATAAATTTAAATTTTTTAAAATATATATATAAATTAATTATAGTAATATTATAATAGAATTCTACTTGTTAAGAAATAAATATATAATAAGAATAATTTGATAAAATATACATTCCAATAATATTTTATTCCAAATAACAAACACTGTAACAAAATACAACATTCCAAATAATCTTATTTCCCGATAATCTTTTATTCCCACTTATACCTTTCATTCCGTGAACCAAAAGTAAGAGATAGTTGCATGAAAAATTAGTACAGAAGCTTAAGCTTTTAGGAAAACACCTAATCTTTACATTTAAGCTTTTGATAAATGCAAAAAATGGAAGATTTAATAGTAGAATCAAAATTTTCAGTTATATAATTACAATCGAGAAGAAATATTGAACATGTTAATAGAAACAAACAAACTTCTGAACTAATAATCAACTAAGAAACAAAAAGGAAAAATGGAAAATGCAGCAATGCGACCTAACGGCTACATCATTCAGCTAATGCAAAATGAAGGCAGCAAATAAACAAAGGAAGATTACAGATCCGATCTAAAGCCCATAAATACACCAGAGTAAAGCAAAACTTACACCAAGGAACGCCAAGGGAACCGAAATCGGAGTCAACACCATCGAGACCGAATAGACTGAGCCAAGAGATCGGGTCATAAGTCGAAACGC